TGGGATGAATACCCCATCACAATGGCACAATTGCATATAGTAAAGAAAGATGAAAGTCTCCTCTTTTTCAATACACCATAATATACCAAGTAGATATATACGCTAGTCACTGTGAAACGTCTTAAATTCAGATTTGTCACCTGTTCTGCTCTGTTGGTGGATGCAGTTATGTTAGTCTAGCATGGGGTGGCTGGCTGACAGACATTTTAATGACTGTGTTATCTAATGTTCTTCAGAGCAGGTGTAGATGTCACTGTGGCGGAAATGGAAGTGTTTGCTTACAGTATGTATATACTAGTTACCATCATCACTTCCTGGTTTGAAACTACATTGCTGTAGAAATGGTGGGATTTTTTTCAGAAGAGTGCCCTGCATAGTATTCTCTCTTTCCTCTAACTTCATCCCCTACACACACTTTTTTACAATTGAGATGATTTATTCTTCAATACATTTAGAGTATAGTAATAATAATTTTTCCCTCTGAAAGCTAAAGAATTATTGCCAAATCTCCACAGGCCTGTGTCGTTATTGAATGACCACTTGTTTTCTAGATGTTCTTTTAAGCATGATCTTTAACTCTACTGAAAGTAACATAGCAGTGTTGAAGTTACTAGCTTTTCCCCAGTAACTGCTTCTCAGATTGAATTCACATCTGTGTGATATCTTTCATATACTTCTTAGTGAAAGTTTAGACCTATGAGCACCATTTCAAGTGTTATCATGCAAAGACATATTTGGGGGACTTGGCATATTCAGTATTTTCAAAATGAGTTCTACATCTTTTCTTTGAACTACTGTACTTGTTTTAACCATAGGAAGAGAGGCACTGGTTATACAAGAGCAAAAGGTTACATTTTAACTCATATTCTATAGTACTTTACTACATAGTCCCACTGAAATTAATGGGACTATTTGTGAAATAAGGTGTTACTCAGTGTGAGTAAGGAATTAGAATCAGGTCCAAAATTACAGCTCTAATAACCACTATGTTTGTAACTAGTAAGCGGGTATAGCTTGTTCTATACAGAACATACATACCATTTATATACATAGATCATATTTCATCCAAATGTACTCCCTTCCTGACATCTATAGTTGTTGGTAACTCAGCTAATATTAACCAATAAATAAACTTAAGCTTTCTCTCCAAGAATAACTATCCCTGTAGTTTCTCCACTGAAAGGCCTCTGTCCTAAAACCAAGATCTTTGCTCAAAGAGCTACTCCCACCTCTCTGTCCCACATGGAGTTAATGAGTTGTACCTGCCATCAATGAATCAATAAAAATAAACTGGCATTGCCCTACAGGGTTTCAGCACCTGCTAAGAGGGTGGGACAATAGAAGAGCCTGCTCTCTGGACCATCATGAGCCTTTCACTCCATGTTTTGTAAAAATTGTATTCTGAAGCAAATTGTTTTGAAATTATTTCCATGGAAATAATGATAGAAAAATTAAAGTGAGTTGCTACAGAAACATTTCTGTAAAACTGTTTTTAACTGCCTGTGCTCACTCACTCGTGTTCTCTGATTTGGATACTAGTTGCTAAAGGTGGAAAGAGAGTTGAAGAATTCTTACCTTTAAGTCCATTTGGAATATTAAGGTGGCTTACATAAATTTTGAGTTATTGTAGCACTTTGTTTTCTGTAGAGTCACAAATTGAACAACCTGCCATAAAATAAATTTTAATTTGCAGTGGATCAGCATAGCAGAAGTAAGAGCATGTAAGACTTTAGAAGGTTTTTATTTTGCAGCTCCTCACACCTTGTGAAACTTATGGAGTAAGTGCCATAGACCGAGAGAGTCTGAAACACTACATATTTTTAACACTACATATAGCTATTGGCAAATATTATAGAAGTATCACTTCACTTCCCACACTTGAACTTTTGGTCATCTTTGTTGTGTTGCAAGTGTGAGTTACTGCTCCCCCGCCTATGACAGACTGTCTCACTATTCCTCTATTGCAAATAGCTGTGAATCCGACTGGAAAAGGATGTCTCTCATACCCCTCTAGTACTGATCCAAACAGAAGGTGATAGTTTAATACTGGGGATCTTAAGGTTCCAGTTGCTGAAAGAGGCAGAGGTCCTATGGAAAAATAATCTGATCTTGTAGTTTAATGAACCCCAGGGCTGCAACTCAGTTCTGGCATACCCTAACTTTTGAGTGTTTGATTTTGCAAACAGAGTTTTCTTTTTGTGTATAATATTATATAACTTGGGCCAAATTCAGCAATGGTGTAAGTCATTGAAATCTTTGGGACTGAATTTTTCCTAGTAAGCCACTCTTCACAGCCTGTATAAGGAAATAATGAGCAGTCCTGTGGCACCTTAGAGACTAACAAAAATATTAGGTCATGAGCTTTCATGGGTAAAACCCACTTCATCAGATGCGCTGGAGTGGAAATTACAGAATCCAGGGTCTAAATAACAGCAAAAGCAGTTAGTGTTAATTGTAGGACCAGTGTTAATTAAGCTAATTAAGTCAGGGTGAGTTAATGCTATGAATGGGACACATCCTGCCTGACTTAATTAGCTTCATTAACACTGGTTCTACAAGTGACATGTAACTGGTTTTGCTGTTATATAGACCCTGGATTCTGTAATTTCCACTCCAGCTCATCTGATGAAGTGGGTTTTACCCACGAAAGCTTCATGCCTTAATATTTTTGTTAGTCTCTAAGGTGCCATAGCACTGCTCTTCATTTTTAAAGTTACAGACTAACACGGCAATGTCTCTAAGACTTGCGTAGGAAATGGTGTGACAAGTGGTAACTCATTCTCTGAATTTAAGTACAATGTAATATCTTCACAGAAGCACCTCTCATAATAACGCCCCACAGTAACAAACCTTCAGCAAGAAATACTTGATTCTCCATTTTCCTTAGAGGGTGTGCTATGGAGTGCCATGTAATCCTTGACCGTTGTGTGAACATGTTGAATGGGGGACCACACAACTGTTGGAAGGGTATTTATAAAGAACCTGGAGGGCCACCCACCCTGCTATTGAGAACCCTCTGGAATAATCCCTTCAATATAAATTAGTCTGTGTTGCAAATTTGAAATCAATGTGTTTCTATTTCAAGGGACAGTGGAGAAATGATGTATTCAATGGACAGGGCATTATAACTCATTGTTCTGGTGTCATCTATGATGGACTGTGGATCAATGGCTTCCCTGCTGGTACGTTCATTCATTATGCTATCCAGTTATTAACAAGACCTCAACATAATGCTTTGGCTGTCTCTCTGTTGATTAATATGATCTGGCTATAGTTTTAGCCTCTTCTGTGCAGTCAGTTTGACTGGAACATGTAGTTCATAAGAGTAAAAGCGGTAGCTATTTGAGTGGCACATTCGTGGGGGTAAAGCTATTAATTCGAACTAAATGTAGAACCACAATGGTATAAAATGTAGCTTTGGAATCTTTTTTTTAAGACTAATGTGCTCTTTTCATTTTAAAGCAAATCATGCATACATTTTTGGAGTTAAAGGCTATTACCTTATTCACAAAATTAATAATAGAGTAACTTTAAAAAACAAGTATTAAATTGTCCTGCTTAGAAAGCAGAGGTTGCAAATTGAAATTCATCTCTTCCACACTTCATTCTTCAGCATATTCCTAGCTGCTTTTTGTACTGTTTCACAAACCACCCTAGATAAAAATTAATTCAGAGATCATCTTACTTCATGTTTTAGAAATGTGCCACTCTGTAGTCTGTATGTCCGACTGTGAGTCTGTTTGCTCAAGAACTCCTCCTAAACAGTAAGAGCCAGGACCACCAAATTTGGTATGCAGCTTCCTTTTATCATAAAGCAAGGTCAGGGGTTGGTTTTGCCAGGACAATGGAATGTGCTTGGAATTTGATTGTTTCTCATAAAATGGAAAAGAAGAGGTCTGACAGGTGGGACAGTTATACTGCAGAATGTCCACAGGGGGCAGCAAGGGGCCACAGATGGGGACTGGGACAGTTATAACTCCATAGGGCCAGCAGGGGACACGGGTGGAGAAATGCATGGCTATCTACTAGATATTTCAGACAATTTGTCTGTCTGTCCCCCAGCTGAGGGACGTGTACCCCTGCCTCGGATATACCTGCTGTAGCTGTAGCAACCATGAACAGGCACTCCTCATCTGGCCCCAAGCTGCTGCGTTTAGAGAGAGCTGTAATTGTCCTCTCTCCCTGGGGCAGTCTGCATCCAGGATCATTCCCACCCCCACCCATGAGCAATGGTTTAAATGAAGAAAAACAAAACTTATTTGAGTTAAGGACCCAAGCAATGCTGGGTAAATCTTCTAGTGTACTATGTTTCCAATAAATTCTGGTAGCTTTTAGAACATAATATATCATGGTTTTCATCCTGGAAATAGTAGTTGCAATATGGAAAGGTTTTATTTGCTGAAAACCTAATAAATAGCTAAAGCTGGATGGAAGAGAAGACCCCTAGAATTTTTCCATTTTCCTCTTTCAAGGGCCCTGAGTCAAGCCAGCCTCCTCTTATAACTGATGACTGGATCTGACACAGAAAATGCACATGGCTCATGGTGTCAGACTTCTAGAAGGAGTTTCAGTATTGCTTTCATACCTCATTTGATGGAAAGGGGAGAAATCTAGGGCAAAGGAAATAATCTCTTGTGTGTAGCATAGTTACGGCACCTTTGACTTCTCAGCAGTTTCAGAGATACACATAATTTATACATGTTTTCTCCTCAACCCTTCTGGTGTTAGCTAGAAATATATAAGAAGTACATTTTAACAAAGACTAGAAGAGGACAATTTAGTGGCCTGTTGGAGCTGTTTGGGGAGGTTGTTCTATGTGTGTTAGGAGTAGCATGAAGGAAATCTGAAATGGGTTGTAGAAGAGAATAAGTGGGTACTATAATTTGTAGAATTATTATTATTATTTATTATTGTTTGTATAGCTATAGTCATGAATCAGACCCCGCTGTCCTAGGCATCTAAGTAAAAGGAAAAACTATGTAGCACTTTAAAGACTAACAAGATGGTTTAATAGGCGATGAGCTTTCGTGGGCAAAGCTCATCACCTATTAAACCATCTTGTTAGTCTTTAAAGTGCTACATAGTTTTTCCTTTTGTTTTAGCAAGATCAGACTAACACAGCTACCTCTCTATTATTATCTAAGTACGAGATAAGAGACAATACATAAATAACAATCAACAGAACGAGGCATATAAGAAAAATAGGAGGCAGAATCAGTCAGCATGATTGTCTCAGCACACCAACAGCCTAATGTTCTCAAGGTTTGGGTTTTTGTTTTTTTGGTAGGCGTTATGGAAAAGGAGAATTTTTTGAAGGAGGATAATGAATTTCAGGTGTTTCTGGGAGGTGCCCCCCAGGCATAAAAGAAGGCATGGAAAAAGACAGTAAGGTGCTTGTTCGAAAATTTACCTGGTGAATGATAGAGACCGATATTGTGTCAGTCAGAGACAAGAGTTGATCTTGTGGTAGTGAATGAGAGATGATATGCAGGGTGCACTGAAAACGAAGAGGAGTAGCTTATGTTTGATGCCATACAGTTGGGAGAGCCAGTGGAAGGGTGGAAAGAAGTAAGACAGCCAACACAACAGGGTAGGAAAGTGATCTTTGCAGCACCATTCTGAGTGTATCTGAGCAGGGCAAGGTTGCATTTGTCAGGGCCAGAGAGAAGGAAGTTGCTGCAATCAAGACCTGATATGATAAAAGCTTGGATGAGATTTTTAGTTGTGTGGATAGATAGGAAAAAATAGTGTATATGTCCCTTTCATATGACATAGCTATATATTTTAATACCTCTAGCCAGGGTAATCCTGGATGCATGTAAGCTGGAAAAGGATTGATTTAATTCCCTCACCCTGTGAAATGCCCATTAATATCATTCACTTTTCCAGGAATCTGAAACTGAGACAAGGTTAATCCAGTCCTAAAAATCAGAGGTACAAAAGAGCAATAAAGGTCAACTAGCTTATTCCCCTCCTTCCCTATGATACCGTTTCCTGACAAGCATTCAGAGAGGTAGCCATGTTAGTCTATTTCAGCCAAAACAATGAGGAGTCTGGTGGCACCTTAAAGAATAACAAATTTATTAGGACATAAACTTTTGTGAGATACAGCTCACTTCCTCAGAGGCTTGAAGTGAAAGAAAGGCCAGGATACAGAGATGGGAGTGTACCATCAGTGCTAATTAAATCAGCGTGGATGTGGCTCCCCTCCAACAGTGATGAGGAAGCAAGGCTATGTCTAGATTACACTGATCTATCAGAAGAAGGCACGCAACATGCGCTCCGCAATTTGCATACTTTTTTCTGATAGTTTTTTCGGAAAAGGCTTTTCTGAAATATGGCCTGTTTACACTGGGCCAAATTTCAGAAAATCTTCCTCTTTCAGTAGAGCCCTTCTTCCTTATGGAAAGAGGAAGACAGGGCTTCAAAAGAATGCGTTTGCTCATCCACAAAAAAAAGCGGTAGAGCAGACGTGTTTCCTAGACGCATCCCGGAAAAACCCCATAGTCTAGAAATAGCCTAAGCGTACCTGAAGGGGAAAACATGAAGGGGAAATTACTTATTGTAATGAGAGAGCCATTCTTTCTGACTGTGTCAAATTTGCATATGAATTCCAGATCAGCAGTTTCATGTTGAGATCTATGTTTTATTTTGATTTTTTTGCCTGAGAATGGCAAAATAATAAGCACTGTAAACAAAACCGAGTCTAGACAACTGTCATTCCAGTTTTCAGACTGATATCTGATCGACAGACATGTTTTTTCACTAGTGCAAAAATCACACTGCTTTTTAATTGTACTTTACACGTAATCCAAAATTTCTCCCCAAATGGTAAACAAACTGCACTACCAAAATGATTAATCTCTGTGATGGAAGGGGGCACTTAATAGTATAAAGCATACTTCAATGAAGGTGGGGAAGATAAATTTTGACTTGGGTCACAAGGATAAAACCATTTAATTTCAAAGTTCTAATTGAAATGATCACACACAGTAAATGTAATGGAACTATTTCTGAAGGATGAAGGGCTAAATTAACCACCTTGGGACCTGAAGTTGGGGCTGTTGAGAATCTAGGTATCCCTCTTAATCACCAAAAATCTCATCCACCTCCTATGAAAACAAGTGAAGAGAGACTCCCATTGACTTCAGTAGGAGTTATATTAGGACCTAAGACACTCTCCACCCCTATTTCTGCACGTTTTGTTTGACCTATGTCCACTAAAGGGCGTGACTGATCTTTTACCAACCGCCAATGAGAAGATGTATAAGCAACTTGTAAGGCTATTGATGCCTGAGGTCTACTACCAGCAATTCATTAATCTGGTTGGGAGATACAATCATAAAGGATGCTCCTAGAGCAGGGGTGGCCAACCCGTTAGAGACAAAGAGCCAAAATAGTGGTGGATAGAGTGCGAAAAGCCACATACCGGGGGGGAGTGGAGTTGTTGAGAAAAAAAACCCACGCCTAGGGTGCCGATACACCGTCCCAGGGCATACCATCACAAAAAAAGCACTGGGAAGGGGTGAGAGGTGGTGAAAGCTCTGGGAGGGAATTTGGGTGCAGGAGGAAGTAGAAAGAGGATGCTGGCTCAGGGAGGGGGCTCCAGGCTGGAGAGTGTTGGGGTCAGGTGGAGGGTTGGAGTGCTGACCAAGCCTCAGGCTTGTGGCTGAGAGAGTGCAAAAATTTGGCCTGGGGTGCATGAGGGGCTCAGGGCAAGGAGACTGGGAGTATGATGGGCTCAGGACACAGATTTGCAGTGTGTGGATGGTGCAGGAGTATAGTGGCAGAAGACTAAGGATGTGGAGGTGCAGGAGTTTGGGGATGTGAGAGGCTCAGGACAGGGTTCCAGTGTATGATAGGCTCAGGTTTGGGGTCGGGGGGGGGTGCAGGAGTGTTATGATGCTGCAGCCAGATGGGGGCTTGGGCCCAATTTGGGGACTTGTTGGTCTCAGAAAGCGCACTGGCTGCTCTTCTCCTCCCATCCCCTCCCCCAGGCACCCCCTGCTCTAACCCAATCCC